AAAAAGCAAAATTTGTTTTATTTATACTTCATTCAGATATTCTACTTCATAATTTTTATATTATTATTATTTCATATCGTTATAATCGTGACAAATTGTGTACAGAAACCGCAGTATAACTTTTATCAGAGATGAGTCGGTGATCATGAACCGATCAACTCTCATACATACACATATGTATGTATGTACGTTTTTATGTATAATTGATAATGTAACACACAGGTATGTGTTTTTGTAAAAAAATATCGTATCACATCAAAAGACGAATCGTGTAAATTATAAATCGTTGAATAAATGTCATTTTATATTTTACATATCGATATGATTGTACGATTGACTTTACGGTCGAAAGTTCATTCCACAAAATGACAATAGAACATGCACTATTTTGAAAGGCAAAATGATTAAAAACGAATTTTGCAGTAATTCCGAAAGTAGGTGACCTCTGATAGAAATTGAAAATCAATAAAATACAATAGAGTTTGTGGCTCGTGGCTCATATATATACACAAAGAAAGACAGAGACAACGTGCGTGTATATATATACATATATATAAATAACCTAACTTCTCTTTCTACGATTTTCGAGGTTATGTTGCCTGAACCTGAGATTGTGGACTCTGATCGTCGGACGTTCTATTTTCGTTTCGGCGAAAAGTGTTTATTCCTGCCAGTCGTGGGCGCGCGTTACGCATTATAATGCATCTAAATGCGTGGGGAAGTCACGAAACTGCTGTGAGATAGTACAAACATGGGCAGAAGAAAATCTCACGGATCGTCCAAAAGTAAACAACACGTTTCTCATCAAAGGCAATTGTCGTTGACGAAAAGAAACGAAATAAATGACTTGTGCGAAAAATTGTTCGTCCGTGAGTACGCTTTTCATTAATACAATTCTTATACCGTACACATACATAGATCATTTTGTGAAACGTTTGTACAAACTGATTTCGTGACTAAATTCTACATGGTACACACTTTGCTTCGATAAAGTAATGACTGTTATTTTTTTTTCAAACAGTGAGCATTAATTCAGCGTACGTGACACAATTATGGGACAATTATGTGGAGATATCAACAATTTTGGAGAAGGTTAAACGGTTGGAGGACATGAAGACGGAGTCGCCGAAACGGTCCCAGGGGATTGGACAATTTATAAATTGGCTTAAAGAGAATGGTGCGAATATAGATGGTACAAGCGTTGCTGAATTTCCTAAATACGATTTGGGATTAAAAGCTGAATATAATTTCCAAGAGAATGAACTGATTCTAAGGATACCTAGAGCACTCATTTTCAGTATACACAATGCAGCCCCAGAGTTGATTGCTCTTCAAAATGATCCTCTGATACAACATATGCCACAAGTAGCGCTCGCGATTGCACTTCTCATTGAAAGACACAAAGAGAATTCGAAATGGAAGCCTTATTTGGATATTCTTCCTACTACATACACAACTGTGCTATACATGACTGCTGCTGATATGATTGAACTCAAAGGCAGTCCTACTCTAGGTAAAGATCCATTCAAATTCAATAAAATAAGCATAGTTCAAAAATATTTTAATGCTTCATTTTAAGTTCATTTTAATTTATAATTTGTTTTTTTATTGAAACAAGTAAATAAAATATAGAATTTTCGTATATCTCTATTGCAGAGGTTGCCTTGAAGCAGTGCCGAAATATCGCAAGACAGTATTCCTATTTTAATAAGGTGTTTCAAAACAATAATAATGCCGTGTCTGCTATACTCAGGGATGTTTTCACTTACGAGAGATACTGGTAAGTACTGAAATGTCACTTTCCTGTTTTATATAAAACATACTTTATTTTACTTATGATATTTGTATAAATAAATATATTTTTGCTTTACCTATATAAAAGACAGCTTAACAATTATAAAAATCTACTGCTTTTTCTGATCTGACAAATTTTTTAAATGCCTCAGAAATGTTTCACTTTTAATAAAATTACATTAATTTATAATTATAAATTACGCTGCATTCTACCAGTAATTAGAATAATATTTATTTGAAACTCTATACAATAGTATGTACAAACGCCCACGTCTGCTAAACCAGTCTATAGATTTGTTGTCATAAAAACGTTGACTGATCAATGAACATTATATTTCTATTATATAACCCACGCTTTTCACTGATAATAGAGTGGTTTCAAAACTCATACAATATATTCTTAATGTTTCCATAGTGTAAAACTACACTTAACATTAATACGAGAATACTGCTGTTTTCCTAAAAGGATACACGTAGGTACTTTAGGTATGCATTTAGTTCGTTTTATTTCATGTAGTCAGGTATGGTTTCCCAGCTGTCATTTGCGTCCAGCGAGTCATTATCGATATCGGCCCTGGAATCTATTTCTTTTACTGTTTCTTGAGCCTCAGTTTTGTCTGGCCTTTTTGCCGTCGAAGTGGCCACCACGTTTACCATGACGGTACTCAAGCTACTCGAATTCGACAGCTTTCTAGCCGTCAACATTGGTCCTTGAAATACTGCCCTGGAGAATGTATTTCTATATCTGTACTTCTGCTTTTGCCGAATCCTACAAATGATGAATATTCCTAGGAAAACTACGAGAGTGACGCCAAGAATAGCGCCACTTGCTATTATGCTGGGTTTCACCTTCGAGAAGATCTTTCCATTTTCGTTCTTCTCTTTATTCTCTCTGAGGATGTCATTCGTTTCACTGTACAATGTCTGGATGTCGATAGAATTTGGCTCCTCCTTTACGATTTCCTTAACGAAGCCGGATTCCATCAAATTTGAACTATCGTTTATACTTATGGTTTCCGCTTCCTTGTCTATGAGCACCACACCAATATTGCTGTTTTGCAAAAGGCTTTTTTCGTCTTCGCTGTTATACTGACCCGCACGGTCTTTCTGAATGTTTTTCATGAATGGCATGGAACCGAAAGTTGTTAACAGATCAACGATTTGAACTGTACGATGTCCTTCCTCGGTTGTCTTATTTTCATCTTTCTTTGTAACGCTATCAATGTTATGGTCTGTATTGTCGTTACTGAATATTGATTCTAAACTAGGCAGGTATTGTTCAGTTGTACTTTCTGCGGAACGAACTGGATTTGTTAAATCACTGTTCACATTTTCTGTCGACTGTGATACATCATTGCCCGTTCCTTTATTGAAATTGTCTTCGTGTTTAATGATATATCTACTCTCGCCAAAAACTTCTGCACGTGGGGAGACAGTGGTTACTTTCTGCGTTCTGATCCGTGATACTTCTGCCAAATGAACTTTACTGGATCCCCTCTGTCTCAACGCGATGAGTTCTTCTAAACTCATGTTCCTCGACTTAAGAAGACGCTCCAATCTTTTTCCCGCGGATCCTGAAGCGAACAGCTCAAAAATTTCCGCTCGAGCTTCAGGTTCCACTTCCGATATAATTTCATCATAACTCTTTTTCTCAGACGTATTTATGTTTTGATGATTCTTTAAATTATCGTCGCTTTCATTTACAACAGACAAGGGCTTGGTAGCCGGTTGACTATTCTCTACCGTGATGTTTTCTTCACGAGACATTGCGTTCAACGCAGATTCTATTTCTTGTATTATTAGTTTTCTCATATCGTTCTCATCGGTAGAACTACTGATTTGTGTGCTGTACTCTAAATCGTAATACATCGGTGCATCATTCTGATAATCTTTCTCAGAAGAAGTATTATAATCCCCTTCAGTGGAGTATTTGGCATTCACCATTTGATCTTTATCCTCGACCTTCTTAGTTCTCTCAACCGAGTGCCTTTTGTTTTCAGGATTCGAGAGATTATTCGTTGGTTTCGAACGTTCCGTCGGACTTAATATTTTCTCTATACTTAATGTCGAACCTCCGTCTTCGACACGGATCTTAGCATCTTTTAACGGGGGTTTACCGTCTTTCATCATCAACCAAACAGGAGACATGCCGTTTCCTCCCTTCTTGTAATCGGTGAAATCGGAGAATTCCATGATTTCGTCTTCGTCTAAATTGTCCGCTTTGATTTCACCACCGTCCCGTGATTTCACGGTGGCATCGTTGGCTTGCAACAGTTCCATAGCATTCGTTGCAATCGGCAACGGCATTTGTGTCGTAACCGCGACTTTGCTCCGCGGATCTGCATAGGAATCGACGCTAAGTAGAATCGATTTTCCAATCGTTGCATTTGTAGTTTCTAAACGCGGCTCATCCTGGCTCGTTCCAACCGAGGACCCTCTCGTGGGATCATTACGCAAAACAGGACTCATTGTGCCGATCGAAATCATGAATTCTTTGTCCTGAGAATCTTTTAGCTTGATGAACTCCGAAACAGCCAATTCCGGTTTCTTCGTAGTAGAAGCGGAAACTTTCGCTAATGAGTTCGTCGTCACCTCCACTTCTACGATATAATCCTCGGTCTTATCAACATCTTTCATCTTTAAAGCGTTAATTACGTCGGCTTTACCTTTTAGAAGATCGTTTAAAGTTAGATTTCTTTGTTGAAGTATTTCCGATAAACTTAAACCTTCTTCTTGTTGCATCTTCAACAAAGATTTCAATTCCATGGCATTTTTAGTCGTTGATTCGGATGCGCTCTGTCGATCGTCTGCCCGGAGCCAAGTTCCAGAATTGTTGTACGTCGTTTCGTTCTCTGCCAGAGCGAATTCGTAATTTTGTGGAGGTCTCCTCTTCCGCGGCCGGGGCTTTAAATACTCATCATCGCTGAATTCGTGCTCGTATTCATTTGGACGTACTTGGAAAGCTTCTCGATATCTCATCGCTGGTATCTCTCTATCTTCCTTTATTTCTGTACTTTGTTGTTCCTTTCTGCTGCCAGTCTCCTTGATAGTAGCCGCGTTTTCGCTGATCCAGGGCCGATTTCTCTTTCGCGGCGAGATGTCTTCGCGTTCTCGTTCTCGATCGCGGTATCCACGTCTGCTTTCTATCGATTCATAGTCACCGTAACTTTTGTAAGACAGTCTAGGATTGTTTCTCAAACGGAGCGAATTTTGTCGCCCATTCTTCGGAGGATAATTTGACCCACGATGATCGTAGTTATCCTCTTCCTCACTATTTTCTATCTCGTCCCCGGTGTAGCGAGTATATTGGGAAAACGGAAGCAAGGGAACCGTGTCTCCGTCTCGCCATTTCGGTTCCAGGGCTTCGCCGTTATTTCGCCATTTACCAACCACTTCACCCGTGTTTTCCCTCCCAACGTCCGACTGACTTCGTACTTCCACCTGAAAACCGTTAAATCGCATATAAGTATTTTCGTTTTATCTCTAAACGTAATTCTTTTTTTATATATGCTCGTCGACATTACAAGCCTGAAAGTATTTTTAAAATCCGATTGTACTTTCAATTCGATTATCAAATCAATACGCGCGAGCAATGCGAATATTGCGAATCAGTAATTAATGGGCAAAGTTCAGTGACTATAAAAATGGAAAGTTTAAATGTAATTCGTGCAATCGTATGAGGTACAAGGATGGAGCGGAACAAGGGGAAAAAATGCGTTTAATTAGTGTAATTTTTTTTCTTTAGATTCGTCTGATCTATGACGTACGTATTTATGTACTCGTTTTTAACATGCATAGATAACATTTCCTATCCACACACAAAGTTTCTTATGTTTTTAAAATTAAATTGGCCTTCGCATACGGGCAACGAATTCCAGAAAGCTTCGTTGCATTTCATCGTAGAAACATCTCGATAATTTTGTTCCCTCTTACTTTTGCGAACGTCCATTCACGCGTAAGACCTGACACAAGAGCGTCATTCTTTCCATGCGAATTCTTTCTGATCGTAACCAGAGCTGCCTATATTTAAAAAGAACCATTTTTTTCTTTGATAACAAAAAATTCTAAAGACGTAGGCTTAATCTTGGAATGTAAAAAAAGTGGAATAAATTGCCCTTTCTTTTCTTTTTTATTGGTATTTCGAACTAACAAACGATATTGTAGTCACGTTTTCAAGGATTTGCTCCTATTACATTAATCGCGTGTTTAATCGGTTGATGTAAGTATGGTAATTCACACCTAACTAACTAGAATAATTTATAAATGTGACATGAGTAAGCATTATGCATTCGTTGTATGTAATCCTTATTTTCTGCCAAGTCGTTCTTTCTTATCTAATATATATTATATAATATATATAATATATGTGTAGACTAAACAATATTTATATGAAAATATGTATGATAAAATGTTTACAAAGTCTCGAACTTTCCGTGCTCTGTGGCAGCTTTCTCTTTCTGGCGGTTCACATGCTATCACATAGCCAGTTTTTTCGCTTTACCCGCGTTAACGAACGTTTTGACATTTTGCTTTCGTCATAAATATGCGAGAAATAACCAGGAATATTTTTATAAACGTAACTTGCCGCGACACGAAGGCAGTCGCTGAATGCTTGCTGTATGCCGGCTGAGTTACCGTTTTCCTTAAAAACAAATTCTCAGTAACTTCCTGAAATAATCTTTTCAAGTATATTTAAGAATTCTTAGCAAATGTTAAATGTTTCCCGAGGGAATATATGTAGTACGTCGAATTAATTGTAATCTGTCATTCACATTATTTTGCATATTTGTATAATGTTAGCGTTAAATGTTTTTACACGTGTCTGTTGATGAGAGGTCTCAACCATTGTATAACACGTGTATCTATCTCGACAAGAAAAATCAAAGAAGAAATGACCTATTAATCAAGCAAATTGCACATTCACTTAAAGGACGTTTAACTATTATCGAATTGTGTCAAGCATAGTAATATCAGGTTTTATATTTTCGGTTTTATATATTCGATTTTAGGGGAGCTCTTCAAATAAAGTAGTGAAAAATTCGGGCAAACGAATAATTTATAGTTCCTCCTTCCTTACCCGAAAGTTCGGATCATCATCTTGCTTAACGAGGTCGGCTTGAACGCGCTCTGGTTTGGCGAGGCTATCACGAGGGAAATCGAACGTGAAAAGCATCAACGAAAGCAGATAAAATGTTCTCCACATCGTTGCAATGCGATCGAAACAGGGACAATTCCTCGTCGTCGAAACACCAGCTCTCTTGTAGCTCCTCCACGTTGCCGTGATTAATTTCCTCCACTGTTTTCACTTCGGTTTCTTCACTGAACAGGTGCACGCAGATCGCAGCTGTACACAGGATAACGAAAATCGCGTTCTTCCTGTTGCACAGGCCGAAGATTCCCTCAGGGCTCATACAGAACCTTTTGTTTCTCTCTTCAGGTCCTTAATTACCGCACCGCCAATCTCGTCTCTTCAGGTACTCTTATAATTATTTTTGCTCTTTTCACGTGTTTCATTCGTTGAACTCTTATCACATAAATTAACTTAGCAACGTATAATGCAAGAGCACAAGAAATTGTATGTTCATTCACTTTCCATTTAATAAATAATTTATTAGTTTCGTATGAAAATCTCCGGGAATTTTTCTACTCTCGTATACTCGAGAATATACTTTCCACTTGATTTGACAATTAATTTAGGACAGTCGTCTAAATGTCTCGAAAATGTGTTTATTTTTATTTGGTATATAATGATTCGATTATTTAATATTTTTAATGTTTAGCGATTACACGTTATTACACGTTTATAGTCACGAACGATCGCGAAATATCATTAGGTATGTGTCGTCCGGATTCACAGTGTTGAATCTTGTGAATCTCTCTTTCGATTATGTGCGTGTTTTCGAAGCGGCACGCGTTCTACCACGCTCGACAAATCGTTCTCGCGGACTGACGCCGGTTTTCTCCGTGCATGGTCCTAAGTAAGTCGGTGAAACTCGAGAGCAGTCTTCTACTAAAACGTTGGACGCTCTCCCCGTCAGCCTAACCGGGGCCATCGCCGGATTATGGAGGATGAATTTTATCGCGGTTTCTGCCTCTGGGACAAAGCAAATCCACGTCCTGGGTACAGGAAGGGAAAGGTGTTGAGGAGCAGAGGGTAGAGGAAGATCCTGCGTTCCGTTAAGAATCGAGACACGGTTCGATAGATTCGATCGCGAGCCCGGAAGATGCTGTTTCGCGTGAAATTCTATTTTTCTTTTGCACGGAAAAGAATCGAGACTAGCAAAGAATACAGTCTGTTAACTTCTACCGTTTTTCCAGTGCACATGCAGTAATCTGATTTTTATAAAATGTAAATAAAGATTTATATCGGCGTATTATATAATTGATTGCCTTTTACTGGGTGGAAAGTTTCTATTATTATTGTGTGCTGTGAATTTACTTCGAATGAAAAAACTGCTAGGCGAATTGTTTAATGATTTCTTATTCCGGGTCTTCTAATTGGAAGAGATCGCAAAATACTGTCGAATAATACCGTCTTTACGTAATCCATCAAAATTCTACATATGCATCTAAAATGGACACGATAGAACGTGTTTATAATGTTGTTTAAACCTAATTGATTTTACGTTTATTACATGAGGTAAAAAAGTTAAACTACATTGAGCTTCCAAGAATTGAATTGTTAGCTTGGAAAGAGTTAACGATATCTTTATGTAACCAAAAGAATTTGATCTTAGGACCTGATTAAAGAGCGTTTCATAGGAACAGCTACAGTACATCCATTACGAAAGTGATGAAGATACTGCAAACGAGAATTTTTCTCACGTTGCTAGCTGTTACGGAATTTTAGATTACACTTAACGGTATCATTAATCTAATAATTAGTTACATAATCTCTACTCTGCTATGAAATTTTCATCAACCGTATAAGATAAAATGGAATATCAATTTTTTCGTTAGTGTATGATAATTCAAGATCCAATTAACACTTTTTGCTTCGAGAATTGTACTACGTATTTTTTTAAAAGTAATACTAAAGTGACTGGCATAAACGTAATTGCGTTCAGTTTTTCAGTCCTGATCAATTTTGTTACAAATAAATAGCAGTTTTTTTCTCAGCAGCAATGAATTTTGTAATGAGCTTTGCGCTTTGCGCCTCGCGATGCGACTCGACAAAACCTCTCGTTGTCCCGTCTAATAGAAAGTCTGCTCCTCGGTACTTAGATCTCACGATCTTCGATTCACAGCACGACCTTCCCACGTGCAGTGGACTGTGCATCCATCCCCACGGTGTGTAGCACGAAGCATCGCGCCAGTGCGATGCGGTGTCTTCCTATTCCAGCAGATATTGCGAAACGTCTCATTTTTATTCTCGTTTCCCTTTGTTCTCAGCGTCGTTGACGCTCTCTTCTCGTTACCCACGTCGCTGCCGCTTTAATTAACCGACTCTTCTTCGCTCTCATTGATTAGCAATGCGACACGTTGCAGTTTACAAATAGTTTTGAATTTAATGTATTATAGATATCGTTCATCAGTCGAGCTTTGTCCAATCCGAACTTTCAGATCATTCACTCTTCTGTTTACCATTGCAAATGAATTTATACATTCATTTATTTCACTGGGGCATTTGCATACTGACGTATGAATTGTGAATTGTGCATCTATATAGTTTGCAAAGTTTATATTAAGAAAGTACGTGCGTATACTTTAAAACGTCGTTTCGTATAGAACTCGAATAGTTTTATGTCTTTTACTATTGAATTAAAAAGTCTTTAACATCATCTACGGGAGTATGCAGGTTGACAGTTTTATCATCCGTTCGTTTATTTTGTCATTTTCGTTTACGTTCGTCGGCACGCATCGTTGATGTTCGTTCATCGGTTTTCGTGCAGAACCGGCTTCGAGAGGAGTTCTCCGGTAACAAACGAGAGAGGAGAGCTCGTGCACTTTCACACGAGACTGAAACTTTCATACGATTTATCTGCTCGCGTCGACGCGGCGGGTTGCTACGCACAAGAACCGAGCGTTCCCTTTTCCCGTTTCTTTTTCCACGGGATATAATTTTCTATTATCACGTAAACGCGTCCGCCTGCTTCTAGTTTCCCAGCTGATCTAGTGAATCGCATTACCCTTATTCTTGCCCGCCGATCTTTCACGATACATTATTTATTATAGACGTCGTAAAGAAAAAAGCAGTTGCGCTTGGAACGCCGATTTCCCTGGTGCTAGGTAAAAACTGGTTTAATGTCTTCTTTATCATATACATACTTAAGTTATGTTTATATCTCAAGATCTTAAAAAATCTTTCAGTTTTCACCCACATATTTTATCTCCTGCGTCTCACGATAAATATTGTCTATTCTTGCTGACTTTCATCCATTGAAAACAATTAATTCTTGTGTCTGGTTTCGAATTAGAACTCGTACAGATATTCTTTTAAAGAGTATTGAAAAATTCAGTAAAGTGTAAATTATAAGTAAGAAGTGAAGTCGAATGAATTTGCATAAAAGCCAGACTTGTAATTTTTGCATAACATGAGTTTGAATTCATTTAGCAGCTCAGTGATCCATATACCAAAATGTATATAGCATAGCGTATACGAAAACAGTTTAATTTGCATTGTTCAAGCAACTGTTAACAGACTTCGTCGATTGTTTATTGTGTCTGTTGATCAGAATTGTTCCTGGAGACAGATTTCTTCCTTTTACGTAAGAGAAAGCAATCTAGTAGCCACGCGACTACCAGAACGATCTCGACAATACGATCAAGGCTTTCATTTGCCCGCAGAGTGTCCACTTTTGTCAGCGGTGACGATCTACATAGACAAGGCTGTCAAAGAAAGTGATGTTCCTGCTCGCGCAAAGATTGGCATCTCGAGAAAACGACAGAAAGAGAAACTAGTAAAAGTGAATCTGTTTCGCGATTATTGAATTATTTTTCACAGAGATCGTGACCGTATAACTTAGATTTATTAACAATTTATGGGAATAGAAGTTACACGCTTTTTATCACTGTACTTAAAGCAGTCCGAGAATGACGTTTTTCTGAAACTCATAAAAGGATAATTTTTGTTTTCTGCAAACTACACGTAGGATCGTAACCGTACGTTCTAGAAAGCGATCGTTAAATTTCATTTTTTTTCTCTTCTCCATTATCCACGTTGCGATTTTATGAGTCTTTGTCTCCGATGTCCATACAATACGCTGTCTTTAGTGTCTTTCCCTCTGACAATTTTGTTCAAATGTTTTCTTAGAAGGTATGGGTACAGAAGAGGAAAGAGAGAGGGAGAAAGTGCGAGGACGGTGGCAATGAATCCTCTTTTATTTTCTATTTCCGGAATTGTAGGTCAAGTTCTTGCCCGAAAAGAAGATGCGGCTGCTGTGTACAGGGCAAACATGAGCCTGAGCGTGCCGCTCGCGAAGGCGAAAGTCACTTCCACCGTTCCAGCACACTTTTTCAGGACCACTTCCGTGGTTAACACCGGGGATACTTTCATTATTGCAACATTCGATTCTTCCCGGAATCTTTTTAGCTCGAGATCTAGCTTTTTAGAGATCTTGTTCATTTCCTTGCTGCTCCTTTTTACTAATGCCACTTACTTTGAATTTAAGAATTTGCATGTAACATATGATTGAATGTAAAAATTTTACAGGTTTAACAAAATAAAAATAAATTCTTGTAATAAATATTTTTATCGCAATATGCATATATGCAATTGATAATACTGGTTTAATGGATATGATGTTCATTGTCGATGTATAAAAATGTTGTTGTCTGACAATGAAATTTGGCAATTGATATTATAGCTGGGCAGTTTCTACTGTAATGACCAGGCAAAATCTAATTCCAAGCGAGGACGGTGCACGCATGATCCACGCTTTAATCCCAATGTGGGATATGTGCAATCACGAGGACGGAATAGTGAGTTCGTCCGTGTGCGTTTTATAAATAAACTGCGAATGTTTATGTATTTTTTGATAATTTCAAGGTACAAAAACGCATCTGCGTAAAAAGTGCGCAAAATACTAAAGCTGAAATATTCATATATCAGACCTCAGACTTCCTGAGCTGATTTTTAGTAATTCAATCAGGTGCTTTAATTGCGCTTGACATTGAATAAACATCCGCAGCTTAATTGTAGTATGGACAAGCTTCTTATACTAGAAATATTCGTTTCAGATTACCACGCATTTCAATAAAACGTTGAATTGCTGTGAATGTTATGCTTTGAGGGACTTTAAGAAAGGCGAGCAAATATTCATTAGCTACGGGCCTAGAACGAATTCCGATTTCTTTGTGCATTCGGGATTTGTTTATATGGACAACAAGCAAGTACGTGATTATTCTAATTACTTTCCCTGTTATATTTACGAAATTTTTGTTCTTTGATCGAATATGGATTACATTATAGGATGGTTTTAAATTACGACTCGGAATCAGCAAAGCCGATTCCCTTCAAAAGGAGCGTATAGAATTATTAAACAAATTAGATCTACCGTCTGTCGGAGAGTTTTTATTGAGACCGGGAACGGAACCGATCTCGGATCTGTTATTAGCGTTTCTGAGAGTGTTCAGTATGCGAAAAGCGGAACTGGCGCATTGGATTCGGTCTGATCGCGTTAACGATTTAAAGCACGTGGACTGCGCGTTGGAAACTGTCGTCGAGGAGAACGTCAGAAAATTTTTGCTCACCAGGCTGCAACTGTTAATTGCTAATTATCCGACGACTCTGAAGGTGAAAGTGAAATTAACAAACAGTAATATTAAATACGAAACAAGCATTTCCTCTAATTTTAACGCTCTTCTTTCTCCTTTCCCTTTTTCTTACAGGAAGATCTGCAACTACTTGAAACTACATTACCCCAAATCAAGAAATTAGCTATTCAACTAAGAGTAACGGAAAAGAAAATACTGCAGGGTGCGCTCGAATACGTGGAACAGTGGATCAAAGCTTGAGAAACTGGAACAGTGAATTTTACTGCGCAACGAGTAGGGAGAAATTTTTATTCTTATTCCTAAAAGAATTTTCTATTAATTTATAGAGATCTGATTTAAAACTGTGCTGTTAAAACGGGAGCTCGAAACTTAATATTCGATGAATTCGTACACATTTATAATGCCGGAGAGAATAATAGGGAGCTAGACGTATTTATATAAATGTATCAACTGCCCTATTACTGTGCTCGGCAATATATCATTGATATTAAAAACTAAGACGTGGCGAGCAGATAGAAAAGGGAGCAATGGTGTAAAATACATTACAGTGTATAAAACATTGACAGAACAGACTATATATATTATGTATGTGTATTAACAAGTATACAATGCAACATAATTGCGTGTTCCATGATCGTACATTGTGCTGATGACAGACGCGCTCTTGTTTTCGAAGGATGAAAACTTGGCGAGTTCACGTTTTTGACGTTAATCGATGTTTCTTCCTATCAAACAGAACGGTTCGCGTACGTCAATCGAGTTTTCAATCCTCGATTACAAAGCTTAAACGAATATACAATAGTTTTATTTCAGCTTTGATAACGAAAGAACGGAGAAAATAAGAATAACGTGTACAAACGAAATGTTACTATTCAATGAATATTTATTTTTTAAAGAAGATAGTTAAAGAGATCTAATTCATTGCGTAAGCTATTGTGCGATATTATACAGGCCTACAAGAAATCAGACTTATAAACGACTGATACGCCGTTAAAGTTTTATCGATAATTGTGTGTCGAATCCTAACAGTACGTATGAAAAGCAAAATGACGAGCGAGTTCAAAGAATACTCCTCAGCCACTAGACTTATTGTATCATGTTCACCCTTAAAATTAAATGCGAAAACGAATAAAATACGCTTATAAATCATTGGTAACCACATATTATATAAAGAAACAAATATGTCAACGTAATTTAAAGAAAACTATATAGAAATCAATTTAATCGCGTATAACATAGACTAATAACAAGTTAACAAAAAGCTACAGCAGGACTGATAGCTAATGCTTTTTTCCATAACATTAGGGCAAACATGATACAGCTGAATATAATGCCACATTAACTTAAAATGGATTACATTTTCTTCTAATACAGAACGCAGAAAATGCATGACGTGTTTATAATTTTATTTTAATTAGCCGCTAGAAAAATTACCTTCCTGCTATCTGATGCAAAAAGTTCTTTATATGTATATGTCATGGACTAATACAAGTATCAGCGTACTCTTGCTTGGTCCAGGGCATACACATACTTATATATCTTACCAGAAAGGAATTGTACAAGATTCTTAATATTATATTTTTTAAAATAATATCATCGTAACAGTATCTGCGTGAGCGTGACGTTTCTGTATTATACATGGTTGTTAGAAAAATATACAGATGTAATACGTGTCTATTTGGGAGAGTGTGAGAGAGAGATGAAGGCGCAAAACTGTTACACAGTTTTTATCCCAGAACTTTCTGATCAGATAATGTCGAATGTCTTATTGATATAATTTATAAGTTTTACCAGTCATGTTTTTAATTGTATTCAATATATGCTACAGAGTGACTGATTTCTAGCAACGACACGTTATTTACTTTTTTTTCACGCTTTATTCTCATAGCGCGTTTTGCAGCCCGACCTTATTATTTGTTAAAGTTAGATTGTTGCTTCGAGTGCTGAAGTTCGCGGAACTATTTTTTATGTATTCACGGAGTATTATATCACTGATAGATTCCTCCTTTTGCTCTCCGTCCTTCAGCACTTCCTTCTTCACGTTCTCGATCCCGTGATCTTCTTGAAGATGCAAAACTAACGTAGGTACGGCATAAAATATTTTGTCACAAAGATTGCACTGAAATGTCTTGCCGTCCGCTGCTTGTAAGCAATGTTCGTAATCGGTCATTGAACTAAATGTTTGCCTATGCAGCGCTAAATGCTTTTCATGGTCCATGGTGAGGATAAACTCGTATGAACAAATCGGGCACTTGAGATTGTGCTTCGTCCACATCGTGTGCGCTTTCAGTCGTTGCAAACTGTCATAAATTTTACCACAAACGGGGCACTTCATGCATTTGTGATTGTTCAACGTTTCCCTGCTGTCGTACAGTCCACTACATTCCTTGCATTGGTAATTTCTTTCCCTTCTACATGCGTGCTTGAGCCAATGCTTCTCTAACTGCGGTAGCAGATCGAACACCAGCTTGCAAAGGGTACACACGAATCTTCCGCGACGATCTCTTTTCATAGTGAAATTCGACGCTCTTATGTTCCAGTGTCTCTCGAAATTATTCTTACGCATTAAATTTTCGTTACAAAACTCGCATTGGTCCTGGTGCTTCGACAAATGGCTAAACAACATCCCGGGTTCCGTGTTCGTGTAATTACAAAAATTACATACGAAAGTGTCGTCTTCTTTGTACACGTGCGAATACAAATGCTTTTGGAATGAGTTCGAAGTAAAAAACATCGCGCCGCACGCTGGGCATTTCAAATAAGGTTTGCCCTTTTCTGTATAATATAAAGGCAAAGGGGTGAGGTTTTGCAACCAGGCAACGTTATCTTTAGAATCTTCAAGATTCTGTTGTTCCATAGAAGGCTCTTCATATTCTTCCATGGTTGGCACTCGTTCTTCCACATCAGTGGAGATAATTGATTCTTCTTCCTTTATTTCAACTATCGGTTCATGCTTCGGTATTAGTTTCCTTAGCAGTGATACTTTATTACGTCTTTTAGAACAATGTTTCGATTTAGATTTATTTTCAGTTAGAGGGCGTTCATCATTCAGTTTCTTTGACAATAACTGGTTGTCCGATTCCAGTTGCGTTATTAATAAATACTCTTTGTTATTAGGCACAGAAGTATCGTACGAATCAAAGGTTGAGTCATTTCTTAGGTCATCCCAATCGCTAACTGTCGATTCGCTAGTAATCTCAGAATCATTGTCTATAGATAAAAGTTCACTGGATATATCATCCCCCTGAGGTACAACATCATCGTCATCTCCTGCAGAAAGAAGCACTGTTCTGAGTATTTCCCCATTTACTGTCGGGAACTTGGTACTCTCGTAGTCTTCTCCACTGTTTCCTTTCTCATTAGTTTCCTCATCTTCCATTGTTTTTTTCGAAAAATCTTTGCATTCCGGGTCTTCCAATGTTAACATCTTCTGTTTGCAGTAATTCGATTTGTATCTGTAATTTCTGTAATTAATAAAAAGAAATAAAATCTTACCGCGATCACTAATTGTTTACATGGGATGCAGGTATAACCTCACACTCATTCGTTCGCAGCGTCGTGTGCATTTATTATGGTCGATCGTAAACAAGCAATAGTCAGCCAAAATCTCTTGAAAGATCGTCGCCCGCAATTATGAAGTAAAAAATGCGTACTCACGTGAGGACATTTAAATGCGGCCTCTCCTTAGGACACCCTCCGTCTTACGAGGAATCGATTTGTATCTCCGTGGAATTCTTTAAAAACGTACATATGTACTCAGAAGACAGACAAAAGGAACACGCACCACGATAAGAATCCAGCCAATTCGGTTTTTCAGGATTCTCGCACCGAAACCGTGACTCCCGCGATCCTCATTATATTATCCATATTCGAACGGCTTTGATCAGCTGTTTTTTGATTACACGACATCGACAGGACGTCTCGGTGCGCGTCTAACCGTCCTACTGATATGAGTCGCTGCTGCCCGTGCTGCTAGCTGCTACTGATGACACGAGAAAGTATCTCTCAACGTCTCATTGCGGTATTTTTCCAATTTCTGGTTTAATTTTTTCGACACAGGCCAAGATTACTCGAAGTATTCGTGTAATGACTGGGACGAAGAAATTGCTGTCCTTCGTATGAAATAATTGATTCTCCTTTCGTGACAGAATATATTTGTTTTATACTGCATTGAATTTCACTGCGAAGGTGACTGTCTTTCGTACGTCATATCAGGTTGAGAAACACTTCTACAGGACTAAGCGTACGCATGTAGTATATAAGTATATGTACAGTACGTATGTATATGTACATATAATATACGTTACAATACGACGAACGTGTTACATTTTGATCCTTACTGATTAAAGAGAAATGTACTCTTTCAAACTGAGATGATATGAAACAGATTTATTGTTCTCAAAATATTTATTTAAACATATTAAACAAATAAACAACATTACATGTAATATGGGTGTAAAAATATGGCTATAAAATACCATAATAGTATCAGTAAATTTTAAGTATATAAAAACTATTCTACGTTACTTACAAAAATAATAGAATAACTTCAATTTTTGGTATTTTTCGCTTATATTTGACTTGCAACGATGTACGTTACCTATTATCGTATATGGAGAAAAAATGTGCAACATGCACAAAACACGCGAAATTAATAAAATTGGCACAGATATCAGTGATCGTAATTTAGATTAACGTATAACAATACTATATACACGTGAAATGACATACGTGTTCATGTATCAAAAATTGCTTCAGCTCCGGTCATTGGAATCATTTCTATTACGTGCACCGTTTTCCTATAAGAAGTAATTTCAGATTTTTGTGACGAATACCAACGCATTATTTCGCAACGAAAAATAGCATTCCTTTTCGTTATGAGATTACACTCGAAGGTATCAGTCTGCGTACCAACAGACGAAACGTACTTTTCACAGCTAATAATCTTACGAATGTGATACTTGCTGTGATGGAGACGTGTTATTTTTCGTGACAGCGGAATGGTACGTGATATTTTCCGCAACGCACGTCAGAACAGAATGTTATATGACTGACGTGACACTCAAAGTGTTAAAGCCACTTGTACCACCTCTTTCGATAATTATATCTTTTCAATTTTTGCTTCGTTTTTTGTGTTCATGACCATGACCGTGGCCATGGTGAGCCGGGTAGCCGTAGCCATGGGCGTAGCCGTGACCGAACCCATGACCATGGCCGTAGCCGTGGCCAAAGCCATGACCATGGCCGTGACCGTAATCGTGGCCGAGACCGTGATGGAAACCGTGGCCAAAACCATGGTGAAAACCGTGGCCGAAATCATGGTGAAAATCGTGGTGGAAATGTCCATGCCCATGACCATGACCGTGGAACAGTGGATAAAAATGACCGCCGTGGCCGTATCCTCCCGCAGGGACGAGGCCTGGTCCGATGGCTCCGATCGGTCCGATCGGACCGATGGGGGCTGGGACCGGAACTGGAACTGGAACTGGTACTGGTACCGGAAATCCCTGTTTCACCGGGACTGGATACGGTTGTTGTACCGGCACAGCCACGGGATGCTTTACTGGTATCGGAATCGGCCGTTCTACCGGAAATGGGACTGCCTGTTAAACAAATGATCAGTCACGTAATTTCCAGTTTGCGTTTTCACCCCCTGGGTGAAAGTCATTCTGTGAAATGAATTACCAGTTTCGAAATTAAAATAACTTAATAATGAATGTTTTTATACATAATTTACGTATCTCGATCTCAACAGAAATTATGTACATACATGTTTTGTGTCATAAATAAAATATATATGTTTAATAGATTTTTTGTATGAAATGTTTTTGTAATTTCTTACCTCAGGCACTGGAACAGGAATTGGCACTGGCTTGTGAATAATTTTTTCAACGGGGACTGGGATCACCTGCGGAACGGGAACTGGCTTCTCCAGGACAACGTGCTTTGTTATATACACTGGAACTTTCAGTATGTCGGTCCTTCCGAATGACAAAGGAATCGCTGGTGCTCTGCCGTATGGCAGACCGCCGTATAATCTAACAAATAGATAATTACAACTCGATAGCATTTAAGTTTCGATATAGAATCAGTTTCCATTTTGATTACCCGTGCGCTAGGTCGAACGCTGGTAACTTAATTCCCTTCCAACCAGAATGGTCCAACCATGGTTGCCCGTGACCGTACGCATATGAATTTGGTATTCCTATCCATCCGCCAGTTTCGGGAAGAATTCCTCGTTTATTCTGTTTCGTTTCATCTGATTCTGCGGCGAGCGCGTAACCGCAGAAGACAATCAGGAACAACTAAAATATTTCCGACACTAGTTACAACAGGTTTACATCAAATTAGTTAAAATCTATGCACAAGTACAGTCGATTTAATATTTAAAAAAAGTAGCACATGTAAAAGAATATAAGAAAACAAAACAAAAAATGACACTAAAAAGAAATTGAAGACTACGTCGCATGGAGTAGCGTTTAATTAAACGATATCTTTTTAATCGGATTCCTTACCGAGATCAAAGACATTGTGGTCTCGTTGAGAGAGAACTGTTCTCCGGATCGAGAAAACGCTAGCTTTATATATTTGCTCTCTAACCCAATAAATAGATAGACAGATTCAGATGGTCGAAGTCAGGTTCCCGTGTTTGATGAAATCAGGAACTCGACCTTGTTGATCAACGAGTTCTGTATTTCCGGTGAAGAAAGTGATCGCGAACTATCGAGAATCTGATTCACGTTCAAAGCCTTATCTGTCTCATATTTTTAATCTTAAACTGTTAAAACGTCACTATTAATATATTTAAAAGTGATAGTCATTAATTTATCTATTATTAAAAGGCTATTGATTAACTTTTTATAATCTAATTACAAATTTTCAATTTGTGCTTCTATTTTATAAATTATGACATTAAGTAGTAGAATTTACTACGGTCGCATGTTACACAAGATTACGAGCTTATTTACTCTCTGATCAATTACGAGTTTATCATTTCGTAATCGTTGAATCCCGTAGATTAGCTAGCTGTTGATGTTGCTATCGTTTTAATTAAAACTATCTAATGGTTCAAGCAGATACCGGGGAACGTTTTATATTTTATAAATTTTTTATGAAAAAACGTGTGCTATCTAATAAACTCGCTAGTCGTTGTACCACTAGCCGACTAATTGAAATTCTTAACGATTAAGGGTTAAGTGTATTAGACCGTCGGTCTAACTCGACGGTCAGGTATTTCGTCATTTATGGTCTCAGGCTGTCAAGTATTATGCGTTCGCCGGCGCTCACAGCGATGAATAATGAATGACAGGCAACGGTCAAGCGTTAGAAGCAGTTCGTGTGTACCTGTTAGAAAATGAAAGTTAAGAAAGTTCGCGGATGCGTCTGGCGAACGCGGAAACGAGCTGGAGCTGCAAAAAATGGATCCGTACCGGCTGGTTCCGTTGATCTCGTTGTTGAGTAAACGCCATCCTTATTGTTGCCGTTACAGAAACGTTACGTGATGCGAATCATCGTTGACTCGATTCAGGGAATATGCAAAAGAAAGTACCCAATGATTTCGGAAGTTCTTTTGCTGTTGCATTTATACTAATAAGTCTATTTTACATTAAAAATAATCTGTACGGTCCAAAAAGGTTTAACACCGTATATTCTCTTAAAGTCATTTTCAAAATGTATTTTCATTGAAAATCGTTTCAATATTTACATCATTAATTGCATAGTGATAAAACAGACAATGGAAGAGTTCTACGTGTGTGACTGAAAGAACGATAATAAATTTTGTATTATACATATAAATATATATAGCTGATGCTTCTATCTACACATTTTACAATTGCGCAAAAGTAGCATTAGTATTCCCTGGTCCAACCATGGACAACGCTTCCGTCAGGATGTAAAAAATAACGAAACTGTCACGTTGCGTCGCCTAGTCGCATAACTCGACTACTATGGAGGCACGTCACGAATTGGACGCATCGCTATTCTTATTAATTTGAATGTTCACGTAGGTAGGCAATTTTCACCTGTAGCAGCTCGGCTATCTGAACGATCTCGAAGACGATATCGATGCGACAATGCTAACGAAGCAACGTTCTAACACACGTATCGGAGCGAGAAATGATAGGTCTCATTATCTTATGCACCTAACAGCGTGAAACGTGTGGGCCTAAACGGATGGATAGACGTGTTCGGGTTTAAGGTGTAACGAAAGAAAAGCGGTCACCACCGCTATTTGGCCATCGCCCAGGATTGGAAGCAGCGAAAGTCCATTGAGCGCGAGCAAGACAATGACGATAGTTCTTCCTACCGATGATGTATCACCGACGTGGATGCCCTATAAATACTTATGGGGGTCACCGATAGCGAACTAACTCAGTTTTTCTTCGGCAACGCAGCTGTCAGGGAACCTCCCTCGGTCTAAGCATGAAATTTATTTTGGTATCAAACTTTTACCTTTGTTTCCCTCAAATAGTCTTTGAATAGTAACATGATTCTCGATAAACTGACACAGTTTCCTAACACGCGATAAAGCTTTTACGATTCATATTTCAGTGAAATAATTATAATAAAATGAAATTCGTTTATTGTTTGTAGGTTTTATCGTTAATCTTGGCAGTCAGTGCAGCGATCACTGTTGACAAGAAGGAGAACAAATCAACGGTGAAGAAACATGACAAAAGAGGACTTATAAATTTGGGATACGGTTTACCACCGGAGAATCTGTACGGTCATCCTGAACCAGCGCCTGTCTACGAGGAACACGTTCCGGATCTAGGTGGACATCTAGAATCCGCGGTACCTCCAGTAGCTCCTCCGCCACCGCCGGCTATCCACCCAGCTCGTTAGTACATCTTTTATTTATAATATTAACTCATTTGATTTATGTTTAAGTAATTTACTTATCTAATAATACTGTTTTAATATCAAAATTGATACACTCATTTGGGAATGTGGTTACATTGACAACTAGATTACGTATTTTTACACTTTCATAAAAAACTGAACAACAGTCTAATAACAAACGTACTGATTGAAATTAATAAGTAACTTCGTCGTCACTGAGAAGAAATTTATGATACTATTTAATTGCTCTTGAGTAACAGCTGAAACGTGCCTCGAAAAGTATGAAAGGAAGAACGTGAAATTAGAGACTCCATTCATTGTTTCGGAGATGGCCTTGAGCAATTCGAAAACAGATCGAACAGAGAATACAAATTAGGCTAACAATAGTGATTAAGTAAAAGATTTACAATTACATGAGGAAACAAACATTCTTCTCCTTGAAAAAATTGACTCATGTACACCTAAATAATGTTATGTTCAATTGATAATCAGCAATGCTCACAGTGACTAGTCATACTTAAAAGCCTCGTGTGACATTACACCTGTGGAGATCTGATATGACGTCTAAAGAAACTTATTCTTGTAAAGCCTAACTCCAACTAATCGAGTGTAAGAAAATAGTCTGTTTTAGAAATTCTGGCTATGTTTCGTCTATTCCCTTTTAGTGTTTTATCGAATTGCGATTCTATTAGTGTTAAGGTTTCTAGTTTACTTTTCGATTGTTGATCGATTTAATCGAATAGCTGGTGTTCCAGTGGCGGTACCTCAGCCAGTCCCACATCCGGTTCCGGTACCACTGCCTCAGCCAGTTCCGCATCCGTTTCCAGTCGCAGTTCCCGTGACGAAGCACGTGCCAGTGCCGGTGCCAGTCGATCGACCTGTTCCAGTACACGTGGATCGTCCCGTTCCGGTCCCGTTCGCGGTCCCAGTTCCGAAACCGTACCCAGTTCACGTCGAGAAGATAGTGCACGTCGACAGACCAGTCCCGGTGCCGGTCGAGAAGCACATCCACGTTCCAGTGGACCGACCCGTCGCTGTTCCGGTTCCGGTACCAAAACCGTACCCGGTTCCTTACGAGAAGGTGGTCCACGTGGACAGACCCTATCCTGTCCACGTCGCGGTACCGTATCACGTTCCCAAACCTTATCCCGTCCCAGTCGCCGTCCATGCTCACAAGTCTCACGGATGGTTTAAGTAAACTCTGATTAGGAACACAATTTAAACGTTCGATTTTAGCACAAGAGCTACTGAGAATTAAGCTGCTTTTGTACGGTTGAGAAATTATAAAATTCCAATTGAAAACCTGTTACAAGAGAATATGGAAAATGTAAGAATTGGAGTAATTTTTTATTGAAAGTTACAAACCAGTTGTTTTGGTAGTTCTTGCGTTAGAAACGTTAAGTTTTTGTTAGTTCATGTACTTAATGTAGATAATTTTAGGAGTTCTGGTCCGTTTTAAGGATACGTTGTTACTAGTCGATCACTAATAGTAGTTCTCCTAGATAAGAATGTTACAGAATTGAGCACAGATATTGCCAAGAAAATGATTGTGAATCTTGAATATTTTGTATACTGACAATTAATAAATGCATTTATTAGGAATACGATTTCTTCCTTTTATTTTTGGCAAAATTGCAATATGTTGATTACATTTTTGGCTCTTGTGCCACGGTAAGTAAATTAATTCATATTTTGACCTACGTGGAATTGAAATGGATCGGTGTAAAGTCACACTTAAAACGCGTGGCTTTTACACGGGGGACACTTCTGTTTGCGCATATAATCGTGTTAAAGGTCAAGTTTCCAACGCGATGCTTCCCATACATTTTTCACTGGCATAAATTAGTCACACGCTAACATGGCTCCGCTTGTTGCATTAACACGCGGTATCATTTCACCCTTGTAACGTCTGGGAATGTCGAGAAACTTGATGATTAAGTTGCCTAAGGCGTATTATCTATTACTTACAGTTTGACAATTGAAAACATTTTACTTAAGTAATGTAGGGTGCAACTATACAATCTTTCCAGCTGATCAAATTATGAATTAAAGCTAATAAAAATATTTAATAAATTGTTCTGGCTGTTTCATTAATTCCTACCTGCTTGCGTTCGTTGAACGACTCGTCCACGGATACATTACTATTATTAACGCGTCAGTATAATAGCAACCGATTTCAGTTGAAGGATAATTAACATCGTTTAGAGAAAATAATCTTCTTTTTCTGGGAAATCAATTTTTCATACAATTCATCACTTATATGTCGATTAGTTCAGTAAATATATAAATTATCATACGATCATTTGAAATTAATGAACGAGGAGTAGTCATAAGTACAATCACTTATACTGTACAGTGTTTAAAGAATTCTTTTAACGAGTTGAAATCCAATTTTTATATTTAAAAATGTATTTGTACTGAAGTTTTTAAACGTTATTACAAGTAGAAGTGACAATAACGCTAAAGTTTTCGATTTAAGCGTGTACCAGTGATAGATATCTATAGAATACTCATATTTAATACATTGTTATGCACCTTCTCGCTCGATAGGCGTTACACTTGACACCAAAGAACAGTTTGCCGTTCACGGAACAAGTGTATATCTAT